TTCAAAAAATCTATGTTAAGAATCAATTTGTTTGAGTACAGAGCTAGGTTTTCCTTAAGAAAGGTGTTTCATGGTAATATAATATTAATATAAGTTAGAACGACACGCGGACAATGTACTGTCATCAATAACATTTATTTACTCGACGAAAGGTTGCCGTCGACGTAAAGTAATGAAGGAAACGTCGGTAAAAATGTTGAGACGAAATTCTTTTATAAACTCCCTAGGTATCGGTAATTTTGGTTTTTAAAATATAGGTATTTACAATTAATTTTTATAGGTGTAGCAAGGACTTTATCGAAACTTTTAGTAACGGCAGGCAGTGTTCGGTTTATGGCAATGGATTCTCGCTCTCTATTACATGGAGCTCATACCATAACTGGTCCAAACTGGTTTGTTGGTGTAGCCATATCTTCCTAATATTTCGTTGCACTATTATATCAATTTGTCGAAGAAAGAATTCCTTGACACTCAAATAAACACTACGAATGTATCTTCTACGCAATTAGAATATAACATAATTTCCAACTTATTGATTATCTACGTAGAAACCGAATTACGCGGAAGGTTCCATACTTACATAGTTACGCAGTTCAGGCGACAGTGGGACTGCCAAGGACCATGTCCAATTACTTCGGACAATGCCTATCCCAGGAGAACATAACGGAATAACTTCCCACTATTATATAAAGGGAAACTAGACATAATTCCTATTTGTAACTTGTAGCCAGCACGTAATCAACTTTTGTTGCCAACGTCGTACTTCTGTCAGCAGTTTTGTATTTAAGTTAAGCTTAGGTCATGTTAGAGGCTTTTTGTAATTTTAGGGCCAAACGAGTTTCTACAGGGATGTGCATGTACACCAGTAAGGCCTTAACCAGGGAACTTATTTAATATAAATAGGTAGGCAATGAACTTCTTAAGGTAGATTTCAGTGCTAGAACGAAGACTAGAAGCCTAAGGATTTCAAATGAAATCACTTGTATTTATTAACATAGGTGCAGACAGGTACAGGTCTTATAAATGAAGAAGAATTTCGAAACTGAAAGGGTAAATACGTGACAACCCTTTGTGATGGTAGATTCATTCGTCAGACCTCTACGCTATTGACAATAGATGCACTTATTAATGAACACTCAATCAAGGCAAAATATAATACAATACCTATATCCTACCATAAACCCCCCAATTATCTTAGATCATATAAAAAGATAAAGTATTTATAGTTAAAACATAAAAGCCCATTAATAGAATTATCTGTGATCCACAGTTAGTGCTCATAAAGCGACTCTCACGCACGTGTCGCAATAATCGTCGGCGAAGTTTTTACATCATTACTTTTATGATGAAACTTTTCTTATGAAAGGTTCCACACCGCGTTATGAACCCATCCGAATCAATTCCAACGTACCAAGTTCAGCATGTTATTACTTAAACGTATATTTGCAACTTCTTTCGCAAGTTCTGAAAGAAAAATTATTTAAATGTGATGTGGTGAGTGAATGAGAAATTGGTTTTTGGTAAAGTCTTTTAAAAATCTATATTTTATGTGAATAATGTAACTGTCTGTCAAAAAATTAATGACAAATAGACCGAAAGAACTACAGTTTATGAAGGAATCAAATACACGTTGCTTAGGTAACGTAAGCATCGTGCAGATTCGATGTGGATTCGATCGCAACGTGTGACTAAACGACCGACTGCTACTAATTACTGTGCCAAACATGTAGTCAGCATACTGCATTTTTATCTAGTACTTGTGCACTAAAGATTCATCACTGATGAGGAATGCAATTATGTGATTTAGTACTGAGTATGATAAACTGTAATCTCTAGTTATCGAAGCAGCAGCGATGTATTTCGATAAAGGTAATGAATCTAGACCGGATTACATTCGTGTAGGCTTGTTCAAATAGGTATCAAACATATTTTTACTACGTTATAAGTCCCTACTGAAACATGAGGTTATTTGAGGCCCAATGCTCTCCCCCATTCCCAATCCTCAAATCCTTAAACCCCTAATCCCAAAAAATTAGCAACGCACTTGTAACTCCTGCATGAGATGGCCTGATTGGTAGTTAGTCACCCTGTCCCATAAAGAAACTAAAACAATCAATGGGAGAAATCCAAGTAAAACATCAAACAATATCCAGCTCAAACCAGTGAAAGTTCCAAAGCTAACACAATGGTGGATTAAGTTCAATTCAGTTATCGATGTAATCAATGTAATCTAGAAGGTAAACGCAATTAGTTGATGACCGCAGTCAGCCAGTAATGGCGACGCGCCCGGCCGCTCCTCGCTAATTACTTGAAAAACTAATACTTTTATCGCTTACCATACGTAATGCGATGTTTTGTGGGAATTATTCACCTTGTTTGTTTGTTTTCAATGTGGAATATAGGGCATGGGTGCAGCTTTTAAGTAAAATTGACGCCTGAAGAATGATAAATGTTATAAACATGTAGTTAGACATAGGATAAATGAAAACCAAACATAACATTATCAGGCCTTGGCTAAAAACTACTGGATTAAAGGCCCCCGCTATATACAGGTTTACATTAAATCTCTAGAGTTAACAAATGGGTTGAAAATCCAACTAATTGATTATTGAAGCCGGTTTCAATCAAACTGACTTTGACTGCACGGTTGGCGCGGTGGCTGGGCAAGTGGCTGCCGCGCAACGTGTCGCGTGTTCGATTCCCGCAACAACTCTTTGTGTGATTCACAGATTGTTGTTCCGGGTCTGGGTGTTATTGTGTATGTGAAGTTGAATGTTTGTAAACGCACCCACGACACAGGAGAAATTCCTAGTGTGGGGCAACGTTTTTTTTAAAACAAAACAAAAAAAACGTTTCTGACTATCCTTTAGTCTCCTCTCATGATACCCACGGGTAGGGATAACGAATAGATTCTACTATAAAGTCACCAAAACTGCGTAGTAATAGAAATCACGATTGTAAACACTGGGCCGTCGTCGCGCCAGTCCAAATGTAATTGCTTGGGAAAATACCTAATTGGGTGCCTATAATTATACTCAATCACATTATAATCAGTTGATATCGCACATGTTTACTTATTAACCAGAATACAATCTCTGCTTACAGTATGTCTACATCAGATACGATTCTACGATAAATTACGATAATTTCATAAATTGTTAATTAGATTAGTAATGTCATGTCAGTTAGCCTGCCAGATATAGGACGGTTTCAGTAGATACCTAGATATAGGTAGGACATTCCTAGTTAAGTATTCGTCTTGTGTACTTATTTTAAGTAAAATTATCTTACAAACTCAATTGTACTACCTACGTCACTCGTCAAAGTAAAGTAAAGTAGGCACCTATTCCCTTCAGACTTCTAAACAAGTTACAGTTCTGTTCAAACACTGGAATCAGAAGGCATCGACTTAAAAAAATTGTTCGCCAACTCTTTTCAAATATTCGCAAAGTTGATTTGAATTCTTTTTGATTACATTTCATTGTTACTGAATCAGTAGGTTGGTAACTTTGTTACAATCTGCTGTGAGTTTGCGCTCTTCTGAATTCCTATGAATAAAACATGCTGTCTTAGATGTATCCTGAGTTATTCTTGGTGCAAAGAATTTACATGCGAATGTAAGTGTCGAGTGTAGCTAGAACGATGTACGATAGTGATTGTGGATGAAAGGCCAACGTGCATTTATTAGAACTGAAAATATTTTACTTCAATTTTACCACTAAGTAGGCCAGTCACATTTTTGCGAACCGATGAGCGTTAGAGTAAACGTTTTGGCGAAATCCACACCGAAGTAAGTAGCAAACACAGCATAGAACGATCTCAGTCTAATAGTTATATGTAGGTAGGTGCAGGGATGAAATTGACGCGGCCGGCAATGGTTGGATAGGAAGAGCTAAAGATGAAACCCAGGAGATCAAGAAATTGCTATTTATTAGCTTATTAGTCTATGTCCAGTTGTCGGAATGGGCTATGGATGGAAACCAGTAAAAGCGTATACATAGCAAGTGGACTTCTCAAGCCATCATTATCCAAAATGGTATAATTTATTGTTATAATATTATTGATTTCATATACACCTTTAAAAACACTTAGGTACATGTACAATTATGTTTGCATGTATGTTTAGTTCATAGTGCCGACCTTTAGTCGCAACTTTAATTCATATAAAGCCATGTTCATACGACAAGGAATTTCAATATAGGCACGAACTGCCTCATATGCGGTGAACTGTGTACCGCCATACCATTGAGTATAACACGTAAACGTATATCGATAAGGTCGAAAATGCGAGAGCAAAATGTAGCGTGTTTACTCGCGTTGTCGAACCAATATCTAATAGCGTCGTGCGTGTGTCTCACGCTATAAAATAAAACTTTGCTGTCATTATTTAAGGCATTACCAAAATAGCTGCTGGTAATAACATTTTCAAGGTATTTCAATAAAACCTAATGATAAATATTTATTGCATTTAGAAAGTTTTGCAAAGAAAGTTAAATATTGTAGTGTATCTAAATATCAAAGTGATTATGTGACATCACACCACCGTGGTAAGCCAAGGTCTGCTGAATAAAGACCTCTCCATAGCAACTAGCCAATGACAACCACAAGTTGGTTGGTATTCTTCTTGGTATAACTTTTAACTTAAGAACAAAGTCCCATAGGTATTATTTTTCTATTTCGAACTTTGCTCGTCTCGTTAGGTACTGTGTCGTTGATTGAGTGGTCGCAGTCGTAAGTGCCGACAGGTTCAATCACCGGGTTGAATAAAGTGTAAAGTGCTACTGCTATTCTTAAAGTATTCGAAAACCAGTAATAACACGAATGCTATTTTCCCTATATTTTTCGGAGTCGCGGAGAACCTAACGGGTAACCGGGGCTCCGGCTCGACGTGCAGGAGAAGGAACGGGGTGGTTTTTAGTCAGTAAGAGTCTGACACTCCCTTCCGCCTCACCCAGGCGGGAGCAGTCATTCGATGATTTTCCCCCCTTAAAAAAAAAAAAAAACCCTATATTTTGGAAATATATTCATGCCCCCTGTAACATGAGATTCCCAACATAAACGATGAAGTGACTTCGCTTCTCGAATTCGCTCCTCTACCTTCCCCTTCTGGGAATAAGAGTTCTTACATTATGTTCGTAAGTAACAATCATTTCTCCTTAAGTTTTACGCAATAACAATAAGACAGAATGCAATGTTAGTTCTAGTTTTAAAACACCATAATTTGCAAGTCTAAAGATTTTCTAATTAGTTTGTGGTAACTCACCGGCAGATGGCGCTGTAGGTCAGGTGGGCAAAACTAACACTACTACCGAAACGAAATAAAGTGTATAGTCATACTAAACATTTCAATCGAAATAGAATAACTCCTTAGAAAAAAAAAAACTATAATTAAGTGACATATTACAGGCTTGTGTGTCCGAATGTGTAGAGACGCCTTAGTAAAATAATATTATTGAGTTCTGACAATAAACAATAAACTTCATTTGCATTTAATAGGGAAGGAAGACCATTGATTAACAACGATTTAGTAAGTTGCAAATCGATAGTTTTAATCGGATCAGAAAATTGATAAGTAATGTTTATCATCTTCATTGCTAAAACGAGAAGTGGTTTGAGTACTTCTAAAATGATTTATTGTTGTTTTGTTAAGTCGCCACAGCCACTTGTAGCACAACCTAAATATTGTCAGAAATAAAATTATTTTTGCCAAGTTTTTCTTATAGGTGGGTAGTATAACATTTTAGTAAACGTTCGTTAGTCTTCTGTCATCATAATTTATAGCTTTTTAATACTTGTTATGTCTATGCAGAAAGGGTTTTGGATAGTGTAGCAATCATCTTTTTCATTCTCTTTGCTGTAACAAACTGGCCGTAGTAATAAAATTAGCATTGCATAAGCATTCATATTGCGTCAATAATGCGACGCGTTATGAGCCGTGATGAGTGCTAGTGACATATACGATAGGCAGCGGCGTGGTGCGGCGTGGCGGGAAGCCTGCGCCCGTGCGGCAGCCAACGTTATCTCGTTAGCACGGCCGGTGTTTGCAGGCGGCCACTGCGGCGCGCCCTCGCCTCGACCGCGAACTAGGGCATCGGGGTGCTCGGGAGCAGTCGAGCAGCCGCCGCGCCGCAGCCCGAGGCGTGAGACGCTGCTGGCGGCCGCCACTCGGCGCTCGCCACTCGCTCCACGGTCGCCGCTAGCGCCCGCAGTGACGCATTGCAGGTGCGCGACGGCCAATCGGCGCGCGCCGAACGCCAGTCCACGCCGCCGCACCAGCCCGATATAAAACCGACTATCCTTTGCGGATCAAATTTAATCCTGTGTTGTGCGTCCCGAGACATGGACTTGGACGTTCGAGTGATAAAGTTTTGAAACGAAACGATTGTAGCGTAGTGTTAAAAACTATTCCGAGCGTCGGAAAACGGATATGAAAATACGGTGAATCGAATAGTCGATTCGGAACGATTCGTGACCGAGCACGAAGCGAATCGCGGTCGCGAGTTTCTCGGCGCGGCCGCTCGCGCGAGTGAGGGCGGCAGTATCGTTTCAACCGTCGATCCGTGCGGTCGCTTTTGCGGCGTAGTCTGTGATTTTTTTAGTGTAGCTCCTGATAATCCAAGTTAATCTACAATGGTGAGTGATATTTCTGCTGAAAGGTGTCGGAAGTGCATTCAGGGGATCATTCTAATTTGAATCCAGGGTATATTTTTGGGATGTGGTGCATCGGTGTTTATAGTGATGACGGGCCTCCATTATATTATTGTGATGGCCGTTTTTTACCGCATTGCGGATCGGCTGCGAAACCAATGTCTTGATCAGGATGCAAGGCCAATAATCAAAGATATGTAGGAAAAATCGCGAGTGTTACGAGATTTCTAAAATCTATAGAACGACCGTTAGAAAGGGTCGAGAAACATCCGTCGCCATAGTTTCGTAGGTGGTGCCGGCTAAATGACGTTAGTTTGAGTTGAAGCCGGCCGTTGATGACGCTTTAAAATGGCGCTCGGATTCTAATACAAAGAAAACAAGTGGTTTAGTGTGTTCTTTCGGTGCTGAGAGGCCTAGTCGCGCCCTGTTGACGGTGGATCGATCGGCCGGGCGCAACTGTCAAACGCCCGTTGACTCATCGCTACGCGCGCTTCTATATTTTTCATACGCAATTCGCTAAACGGGTCGCGTTTCTTCGCCGGTCTGGGAGGCTGCGACGTTAAACAATAGCAATACTGTGTCCGTACACTCGCCCAGCAAGTTCGCCTCAGTTTGCGTGGATTGCATTGTATCGCAATGGTATGTAAATATCGTCGCACCTGGCACAGCTGACTCGATATCGCGGTCTACTTAACGTTAACGACTTTCTCCATTATTTCGGTTAACTTATTGCATTCTTATTCGAGGCTAACAGCTTGTACTAATAAGAACCAGATTCTTATTTGGAGGTCTGTCACTAATAGGAAGAATGTATTTGGCTGCTATATTGGCTGTCAATTCCTCTTATGGTTGATATGTTCAATTTATGCAAAGGAATTGCACCATTGAATTATATTACTGTAGGTCTTTTTTGGAATGTAGATAAGTTAATGCAATGATTTAGTTGTTACTTTATCACTCTGAGACAATAAGTATGTGGATAGGAGACTAAAACATGCCATGTCAAAAGATGAGAATATGATTGAGTGGGTTATGAAAATAATTTGTTCGTCTACCTACAAACTAGTTAGTAAATGTAATAGTCTGGGGACCTTGGTAATATTTGATATAATTATTATTTGTAATCAATAATGTAGAAGTTATTTGCTTATCAGATTTTTGTATATCTTAGATGTGTGATAAAGATAAAATACCTAATTGCAATATGAGTTACCTTGAAATGATTACTGATTCTATGACTGTATGCTGATACAAACAAGAATAATAGTGCAATCATAATTACCTTAGAAAAACTAGTCTGTATTTTTATTGAGAGAACAATGATGGTATAACATGAAACATGGCATGGTAACTGATAAGAGATGATTGTTGTAGTATTTTTAGCTGTGATGATTAGTCTGCCCACATCACCACATATCGGCAGGAAAACCGGAGCTTATTGTTCAAGGATGTTCAATAATTACCTCACAAATAAATGTTGAGGATAAATATTACAACTATAAAATAGTATACTGTATTTTCCTCAATAAAATAACTAGTTAAATTTTGTGTCAAAATAGTTAATATTCATGGCAGTGTATTGCATATTAGAATCCTTTTTGATGTCACAAACCTTTGGAAATATAAAAATAATAATTTCCAAGGGTATTATAATATTAATTTCCGTTACAATACTAGAAGTTACTACAACTTTTTTAACCTTATCTTAATATTGTATTAAGTCACGCTAAGTATGGTTATAATCAAGTGACACATTCTCTACGTCTACTAGACACAAATCAATAAAGTTTTAGGAATATTTAGATATTCCAGTGAAGACACAAGTTGTGTTACAAGCAAAAACTAGTAGTTGATTAAACTTGTTTAATATTTCATGAATAAAAAAGCTTTAAAAGTATTAAAATCTAATTTTGATGTTGATGAAATCATGGCATCCTACTTTAAGTTATTATATTAGGTTTGTATGGAGGTTGGTATTTAAATATAGGTTTTCCTCATTTTTTTGTTAAAGCTAAATTATCTATAGTTTCTGGTTTATGTTTGAACTTCCTGTTTGTATTTAGTTGTGGGCTTTGTGGCTATATCACCAATTTTATTGTTATAAAATAATATTGAAGTCACTCCGGAGATTACCTGAATGCAATTTTGACACCAATTATATTCTTATACAACATTATTGTAATCTAATGTTTTTAACGAGTCTGTCTTGGGTAAATTATTGTTTTAGGTTTTGCAAGACGTTTGTTTTCATTTTTTCTCATGTTATCTCTGCTTTTACATGTGTACTTACATTGAAATTGTAGTGGAATACTGATGGAGTGCTAGTGATAAGAAAATATTAGACTCTCAACTGTATTTTTGTAATAGCAACACTTGTGTCCTACATCCGACACTGCAGTATTCAGGAGACAGGCAAAGGACATCAGTTACAGTCATTGGCGTGGCACCTCAGACATTTACTATAATTTGTTTGTGTCCCAAACACTATCAGTACTTATCCTACTTTTCAAATAACAATCATATTTCTGAAGTATTTATGCCACTATCTCAATAGCACCGTATTTATTGATAAAAGTGGCAATGCAGTATTTTGTATCTGTGGCGTAAAAGACCGCAGTATGACGCGCCGAGGCCGGTCCGGTAATTACACATAATCTCCAGTGTAATCTTATCGCCGGCGATAACCGCTTGCGTTCCGTCTACCGTCTCTTCGTATCTGACACTCATTAACAATGGTCGTCAACACTGTACGTTCTGCATTTTAATAAAAAAAAAAAATTAATTGTTGTTGCTAAAATCAAGATTGAGGAAATATTCGTAATCTTATCCTAAGATCGTAGTTTCTGTGCATTGAACATTTCTAATAAGGTTGTTTGTTGGTTCCAGGCGGATCAACTGACAGAGGAACAGATCGCCGAGTTCAAGGAGGCGTTCTCACTGTTCGACAAAGATGGCGACGGCACCATCACAACCAAAGAGTTGGGAACCGTTATGAGATCCTTAGGACAGAACCCCACAGAAGCAGAGCTTCAAGACATGATCAACGAAGTTGACGCAGACGGTGAGTACACCACTTTACCTTATAGCGTCCTAGCATACCCGACAATTCCTCGCATACCTTGTGGCCATTCAATCTCGTTCAAGTCGAGTAGATGTTAACATTTTTGGCCCTAACCAGAAACGATGTATAGACTTGCCAAAGTATTTGTTACAGCTATTACAGAATATTACAAATTGCTTCGAAAATGCATACGTGTTTCGTCACCATTTACCTTATTGTAACTTTAAATATCTAGTACCTATAGTGATTAGATAAGATAACCAAAATACCAAATTAAAAACATTGCGAGAACCTAATGCCTACGTGATGGCAGCTGTACCTGATTGGTGTACGATTGCCCAGTTAAGTCTAGAAGTGTTGTTTTGCGACACATAAATATTAACTTAGCTGGTTTATAAAATAACCAATCACATTCTTGCTTTTAATAGAAGTGATTATTATATCAATTGTTAAATCAAAATAAACGTACTATTCTTGATTTACGACCTTTTGTTATAACTAGTAACGGTTAACGATTCCATTTTATTCAGTTTTTCAATAAAAGAATCGATTTATTACCAGCACGTAGGTGAAGCTATCAATCAACAAGTCAATAACAAGATAAAACTAATTATAAATAGATTGTCACTGGTATTCGATTGCTTTTTCCTCAAAATGGAATTGACAACTATTATTCTATGGTGTTCGATGCAAACAAGGCTCATCTCGTAGTGTTTAGGTATCGACAAGGTAACGCAAAATCGTTTACTATGGCAAAAATACAATGTTCCCTCTCATAGTAACAATCGATGGAAAAGTATGATACGAGCAATTCGCTATCAATTCAATGTAGGCATGTACTTAAATTAAGGTCATCGATACCTATTGTGATTCATTACAAATGTAATAAATTTCATATCGCGTCGCCTGGTACTTGCCGTAATCGATATTATGTGTATTATCGTCTAAGGTATTAGACTGACGATAAGTACTGAGTATCTATGATTAACGTCCTTTGGAATGCGTGTGTGCTTAGCTGTCGATTTTATACCTTAAACGGCGGCAGTATCTTTAATTGATCGAGTTAATGTACATAAAAATGTAAAGGCTCACGCCTGATCAGCTTATGTAAACAATGTTATGCTTGGATGAAGCAATTGCAGTCTAGCCTAACTAAACCGACGGTAGATTTCACTTGGATTGCAGTAATGGACTTAACTCTCATTTTTGGTGTTTCCATACTCCTTTCTGTGACTCTGGTAACGATCATGGAAATTGATAAAGTCCCGTCACGGAGCTGCTGTAACCAGCCGTGCATCTGTTCTAGCTCAACATTAAAAATAATAATTTCAGTAGAACTCAAAAAACAAGCTTCCGCGCAATTTAAATGTTTACACTTGAGTATAGTTATAAGTTAATCCATAGTGCGCGTGCGCCATAAAAACATTATCACCGCGTACTTACGTAGGCCACGTTTACACAGCACTTTATCAGTGTCCGTGTGTGCGTATTTATTTAGCGAACAACGCTAAGCCAACACGTATGTTTAATTACGTGTCACCAAAATATCGTACAATTAAAGTTTCCGTAAATGTTCATTAACTGCTTCATTCGCTGTTATTGTAGGCATGTATATCTGCTCTTGATGCTTATTCTATATATATATATAATTTTGCTAAAGTGGGATCAAGTCAAGTGTGACTACAATCGAATAGAATCCTTTGCAAGAGTATATAGGAAAAAACCTGTTTATGATCATAACATAAATAAAACCGTCAATATTTAAATTTGCTTTTAAAGAAGTAACGGTAAACTCTCGCGTTTCAGTTTTACACTCGTAGCTTGTTAAGAAAACATTATTGTAGGTAGTCAGTGAATGTCCAGAATTACGTGATCATCAAGGTAATGTTACCTTTATAACGCCAGGGATAAATGCCGTCAGTAGTTTGAAGCGAAAATGTTTACATTTCAAAATGAGACAACGCCTGAACAAACATACCTGATCAAACAAACATGCGAATCATGTGAGTTTACTCATAGTATTTGAATTAAGCCCAAAAATAATTATCTTACATACACATTAGAATACGCTGATAAGATGCGAGTATTGTCTTTGTAAACTACATGTAACACACGTGGTTACATGTCGGGAAATGAATAATAGCACAAACTATTTTTGCAAAACTAGCTGATGTGTAAATTCCCAAGGGGACTATTGAGAAATCACCAATGGAGTATACCTTATGAATGTCGTATTCTTACGTCTTGCATCTTTCTTAACCTATTGTTAAAATCCTGTACGTCATTATGCAAGACGAGGGTCTATTGTGACGCAACCTTCAACCCCTTGTGAAATCCGGAACCTCCTTATTTTCGCACGGGAATTTTAGGGTCTTGGGAACCCTAATAATAACATTTATGGATCAAGTTGTAAGCTATTAAAGTTCCGTGTTCATATAACAATAAAACGTACGAATTTCTGCGAACTACCAAAATAAAAATAACCTCATAAAAGTCGGTTACTGTAATCTGAACTACAATTTAAAAGGCATTAGCCGTAAACGTCTCAATTGGATGAGTAACTCAGTACTTCAGCTTGGCTGGCGATGTAAAATTTAATGAAAATCAGTCAAAATAATTTTGTCTTGTAATTTCTACTCTCTCAAACTCTCGTAGTCGAGTGCTTTGTTGAAGGTGACTCGCATGTCGCAGCTGTAACTTTCTAAAAGTGATCGTGGTGAATATCAACGAAATATCCACCTCACTGTTGCTAGACAATTTGCAGAATGAAAAGCTAAAAATAAAGAATAACTAGACAAACAATAGCACGAAATGTTTACAGATTTGGCGCGCTGGCCTCGTAGGTTCCACACGAATGACCTGCGATAAGTATGTAAAAAGTGGGTGGCCACCCTATTTCGAGGCGTGCACGTCACATGAGCATTGTTTGTGTGTTTACAGTCCGTCCGGTGCACATCGGCCGGCCCTGACATTACCATTGTTGCCAATACTCTGTAATGCTTTGCCGATCAACCGACGCATCTTTACGACGCACAAGTAAATCGATTCACTGGTTTAATGTGATGAGTGATGCGTTTCATATACAAACATTCACCTCCCAAACAGATGAATATTATGCGCGATTGAATTTATGTTTGAAATCGTAAAAACGTTAATGGCACCACATAGCTAATAACATTTTCTCATAAGATTATTATTTAAACTATTCGTTGGTATAATGGAGACTTGTTAGACCTGTTTACTTGTATGTCGCCGTAGTTCGGGCCCTGTTTGCATGACAAAAGGGCGAGATACGAACACTAATTAACACTACAATTGGCATCTCTTTACACTTGTAACACAATACCTCGTTTGTTATAACTCTGGTAATTGTTCAGCGTATCTATTCACAACGTGCGACGTAGTAGACGCACAGGAGATAGAGGTCTGGCCATTTATACGCAATGTGACTCGTTTGACATTGAAGCTGATAAAATTACCTAATTTACTTGTCCAACTGGTTGTCTCTATCCAATCTTGCTATGAATGGGTTTTAGGAAACATTAAGTATTTGTTTATGCAAGTACTGCCATAGTTATTTTTTATTATCTTGTCTTACCCTTGTTTCTGTCAGAACATAAATAAAGCTATCAAGTGCACGACATCACTTGACAGTAACGCGAGCCGGGTCGTGGAATATCGATTGGTATCATGTACCAATAATATACCTGTACTGCACTCCTCTTCATTTTACGAGAGATTGACGAGCCGTTGATTGATACAATTATGCAGGTAATAAAAAGTTCTTCGTAATTTCCAGTGAATAATTTAAATGATAAACTTGTCCGATGTACATAATATATTAATGATCGGCTTTATTTTTGTGTAACACTAAACACACGTAGGCATTATAGCAATATCGCGAATGATTATCATATTCACAATGATATAATTCATCGTTCATTATCAAGGATTGTGCTATTTTTTCAAGGAAACTGATAACTATAATGATAAACTTATCGACTTATCCATAATCAAGATGATCCGTATAAAGAAAATAAAATGTATAAGTACCTACATATTTTTGTGTAGGTATGTAGGTGACGTTGCAAGTCTTATCATAGTGGTTAGTAAAACTGTTGTAAATATTGTGGCAAGAGTAATAACAAAAATCACAATCATAAAAACGTGACCCCCGATTATTACAGTTACCTTACAAGATTCTGCTATCCCATAAAAACAAACTGATAAGGCCCTAGTAATGATTGTAAACAGTAGGTAGCAGTTAGATCGAGACTGGCTCGGCCATTACAAATGAAGGACCCATATTTGACGGGCAAATGACGTAGCCAATGTCCATATAGTGTGTTGAATGCCAACAATACAATACAGCACGTCCGGGACACCAGCAAATTAATTCGCCGCAGACTGACGGAAGGACGATAAACATGGCGCGTGTTCCTGGACCTATATAAAACTATTATTCATCATTCGAGTTACACAGAACTTGTAGACATGTACGCTATAATGAAGTGTGACATCGATACTCCACGTCCTGCAATGACGAAGACTTCGTTTTAATCGGTGCGAGTTAATTATAAAAACGTTACGTATGTCCGCATTTTCTTTTCGATTTCAGAAGAAATAAAACAAAATGTAGTGAGAAAATCTCTGTTACATCGTCTTTTACAAGTTACAATAGCATTCTCTATTTGCTAGTCTGAAAATAAAATGAAGAGCTCTGTATCTAAACATCCAAAATTAAAATTTATAACACCATTCAGTATCGATACAATCTCCAAATAAACAGTTTACATTAGTTCAGCCTGTGTTATGCCGCAGGTTTATTCTTACTAACGTGTAACTTACCTATTATGAGGCGGGTTGGTAATAAATTCTATTTACCGATATATCACTTACTCCAGAATGAATCTAGTTTCACCTCGCTACAACTAGAACAATCCTGGTTCTAATCTACTTGATAAATTATGGAAACATAGTGCTGGCCTGTGATAAGAAAG